CTTTATGCTAATGAAGCCTGGGAAATTCAAATCCCGGGCTTCATTAGCAAGTTCGGTATGCATACATTACCCTCCTAGTTCGAACTAGGGGGGTAGTGTAGACATACCCATAGAGAATATGTTTATTAACAGGGCTCGCTGAGCCATGGCGAGCCCCGCTCGCCAGCCGCACTGTCCGGCATTCTGCACATGCACAGATTGCCGGAACCCGGCTCTTCCGGGTTGTAATCTACTCGCCACGGGCAAGTAGTTTACAAAGATTGTCCAGCCCTGCTTATTAAGTTTGCAGATGATACCAAGCTGGGCAAAGTTGCAGGTGCTTTGGAGGTTATGATTATGAGTGCGTCTACACTGCAGGGCTTTATTCGAAATAAGCTACACAAATTGAGCAAGTTCAATTGCGTATTTTATTTCAAAATAGCTTATTTCAAAATAGGGAACATGAACACAGCACTTATTTCAAAATAGAGCACTCTTCCTCCGACTTCCTTACTCCTCATACAATGAGGGTTACAGGAATCGGAGTAAAAGTTCTCCAGTTTGACAGTATTTTTACACTATTTTGAAATAACTGCCCGCTGTATAGATGCAGACTAAGTTATTTTGAAATAGTGGTAGTGGCTATCTTGGTTTCTTAGCATTCTCCCTACTTTTCCTTTGCATCAGGATAGTCTGCAATTGGGGCTTTAATATAGCCTTCCTGAGAAATTGCCAGCTTTCTTGAACCTCTTTATCCCTTAGATTTTCTTCCCATTGGACTTTATTGATCAGTTCTCTGTTTGGACTTCCAAAAAGTAGACATGAACATTGTCCCTATTCTGCTGCTCTCATTCCTTTCTTTCCTTAGAATAATGAAGCCTATCATTTTCTCCCAAATTGTTTTCCATCTTTAGAGTAGGAATCAATTCCTCCTACTTGATTAGAAGCAAATCTCAGACGGTGATCCCCTGATGACTATTTCTACTTTTTGAAGAAAAAAAAAGCTGTGCCCAAAACATTCAATAACTTTTTAGAAAATTTGTGTTTTGTCATATTGCCTTTCCAACAGATCTTTGGGGAGTCATATTCCTCCAGTACTATTGGGTCTTCTGTTTTGAATATTTCCATAATGCTGCAGTAAAAAAACAGATTGCAGTGGGTCTTGTGCAGAAAGAAACTCTTGGCACATGATGCTGTAAATTAAGGTCTTTCTATTTCCCAGTAACATTTACCTCAGGATTTTTTATTGATTAAGTAGGGAATTTTTTAAATTATATTTTTAAACAGACTTGTTTGCTTTTTCAGATACAGGATATTAACAAGCCTTTAAGACATGTAGCTCTTTTCCACAATACTAATAATAGCTTTCAAGACTGAAAGGCAATTGTGAGTACACAGAATGTAGAACCTTATTAGCATTTCCTGCTATCAATAATAAAAGTCCATATTGCCAACTCTTCTTCAGGAGAAACACCCTTCTGCCAAATTTGGTAACTTACGAATCTGAGGAAAGTAGCAATTTAAACTGTTCAGATAGTCTCACTTTTAGACATTTGTTATGAACTTTAATGAGCAGAATAGCCCAAATAACTACAAATGTTCATGAACAATGTCTATACACTAACTAGAGTTCTGGATTTCTTTTTTTATTTTTGTTTTTCACTTTTTTCCTTTTAGAGGATTAAATGTATGGCTGGTATGATAAAAATACCCTCATGGACAATTAAATATTTTATCAGACTAGATTTATCTGAAGCTGCGCAGGTCCCTTACTCAATTAATTTATGTTTTGTGAAACATAGAATGAAAATATACATGCTTCATTTAAATCATTGCTCTGGTGTAGGGCTGGGGATAAGGAGTTGTGTCTGCAGGCTGCCCCTGGGAAGGGAAGACTACCCCAGCTCTTTCTTTCTGCAGTGGCTTGGGAACAGGTGAGAAGCGCCTCTCCATGGTTGCTGCAGCTCAGGCAGGCACAGCCAGGGGGAAGGGTACATATCTCTCAACTGGGGCAGGTCCAGGTTCATGTTCCCACTGTATTCTCCAGCCAGAGTGAGGAATGTAGCAAACTGTGTACTTTCCCCTTCCTCCCTGATAAAGGGGGACAGCCAGCAATGTTCCTGTTCAAATGGAGGGGGAAAGCTTCAGCCCCCCCCACCCTCCCTAAAGGGCACCTGGGGGGTGAGAGGCTTCAGGCTAAGGCAGTCTTAGATGGGAGAAGGACATGCCCCCAGCCCTGCCAACCCCTTTCACCTGCCGGGTGATTCTGTCTCTTTTCTGTATGGTTTTATGAGAATCAATCCCATTACAGGCATAGCCCTTTGTCCTAGCACAACCAAGCCATCATGTTGCAGTAGATTTTGTTAAGAAAAAGTTGTATACTGAATTTGGTGATCCTAGCTCTTACTTTTAGGAGGAGTTCTTGAACAAGCAGGCAGACAGGCAGACTCTCAAAAAATATATAGTAGATGTATAACAGTGTTAACACTCTTTTTGCAAAGTATGTAAGCATCACTAATTGAATCCTGGAAATCTTGCTGTACATTGAAACTTTCAAACCCTGGAATTTGCTGAAAGCATCATTCCTGTAAAAATACCTGGACTTCTAGTGTGTGCAATTATAATCATGTGTTCTGCACATGACGGTGAGTCCCTCGAAAATCCTTTTCTGAGCTTTACAGTAAATAACTGCAGTTATAATGGAGAAGAATAACACTATGTATAGACACATTAAACACATGGCAAGAGCAGCTTATTCTCCTTTTAATTGCACAGAACAAATGTGATAACTTCAGTGCTGCATCTTACTTGTAGAAGACTGATAATGGTTTGTTTATACAACAAATTATTTCACTAGAAACTGCATTTTCATTTCAGACTGTCAAAATCTGAGACATTTATCATTATTATGTGCAGTCACATAATCTA